GGGCGCTGCAGGGCAGCGGGGCGCAGGCAGCCATAGCCGGGCTGCTGGGTCTCAGGGGGGTAATGCGGACGATCGAGTGGTCTTCAGGGAAGGAGGCAAGTGTGGGGTAATCAAGGTCTGACTGAGGGTGACGAGATACGTACCTGGTGCATGAAGAGAGGTCGGCTATGGTGTTGACAGTCATGTACATTGGTCTTCGAGAGTCGAAGTGAGCCTGTTGCGTGAACCAGCTGTAGGTAGGATAGTCGGGTAGAGTAGGCTGGGTGCTGGGCGCCAGACAGAGAAGAGCGACTCTGGATATTGTGTTGGTGTGGCCTATGGGCTTGAACATTGGCTCATTGTATTGCTCTATATGGTTGGTTTCTCGGTGCATTTTGTACTCTCTGCTTGGACACGACTACTTGGACAGCTGTGTGATTTCACAACTTGGTTTTCTATATATCGTTCAAACTCATATTCCTTGCAATTTGGTATCGGAGCTGGTTCATGATCGCCGCTTACCTGGCACCGGCGACATTGTTACTTGGTGCACTGACGATGCTTCATGTGCAGTAAGGATACTTTGGCGCTGGTTTGTGATAGCGGGGCCTAGGTGGAGAGGCCGGCTGCTGGAAGGCTGTGGCGACAGTGGATGAATGTATGATGATGAGAGTAAGCTGATGTGGCATTTTGGCTGAGGTGGCACTGCATTGCGTTGTGGCTGGTACCGAGGCTATTGACCGGTCATCGAAATGCATGTCGGCCCAATTGGTGAGAAATCTGTGGTTGGGGGCAGCTATCTCCAGGTACGTTGTTCCCATTCCTTATCTACCCTCTCAATCTCTTCTTACCGTGAGGAAGTGAGTCCAACTTGATTGTCCTCTCTTTGGTGAGGAGTCGTGTGCGCTCTACCTTGAGAGACGACATTCTTCCCGGTGGCACATCTGGCAGGAGAGGGCGTGCCTTTGAAGGGCCCTGGTTGAAGCACGGGTCACGGTCACTATGCCAGCCCATGGGTTGTAATACACGCAGGCCATGCTGCTTTGTCCATTGAGGCTCTTTGCTGTGCTGATAGAAGGGGTGTGCGGGGTGACCAGTCCTACGTAGATGCTCCCATACCGTCTATAAACATTTCTGGTTGGGGTCTGAACTGTCCACTGGCTGTGATCATCGTCCTGATTGCGACGTTAAAGAATTCATGAGGACTCTCGAGGGCTGTCCTTAAATTGCCTCTTGATCAGCCAGATCAGTCAGACGTAAGGCTCGTTGCACGTGAGGGTAAACAAAGGGCAGGCTGGTCATAAGCATACTTCTTGGGCACAGGGGTGGGCCGTGGTTGCACACCTTAGACACTGCCGCTTGATGATGCTCATAGGTACGTTGGATACAGGGGAAGGGGATTCCAATTGTGAACTCAACTGAACATCACTACTTTACCCATTGTGCATACATCTGCTCACTGTAGTCTATTTTTATTTTTAATTAGTTGGTTGACAGACTGCCGACACCTAACAGACAGCCTAGAGTAGGACTGTAATCTTCCATAGTCAGTTCTCCTCAAAGCTTTTGAACAAAACTAATCAGAATAGAAGTAGACTATATGTGCACATTCTGTGTAGGTGCTGTTGATGCCGCTTGATAGGTAGTCTAGGTTACTCGCCGAACATTAATTTATTTTATTTACTTTTAGAACCGGTCAGACGCATGTTGCGGTAGGTCCCAGAGAGGACATTAGTGCAAACAGCGTCTGCCTAGCCCATGAGTGGATCAGAGGGTGTGGAAGGTACAACTGACGATAGGAGGCAGACACGACGGGAGACCGGGAGGATACCCGTTGTGTTCCAGGTTCTACTACCAAGAGACGAGAGAAGGCTTAGGGCCGAAGCAAGGACCCGTAATCTAGAGACTGCGAGAGAGGCAGCAGCGGCAGCTGAACGAGCGTTGGCAGCAGCAGCAGCTAGCGCAGTAGCAATGGCTACCTCTTCAGCCACCTCTGCTGCAAACACTTGGTATGCCACTCAACGCGACCAGTTCACAATCCATCTCCAGTACGTCCGGAGCTGGCACTAGTCAGATGGCGGGTTCGCAGTTTAGCTCGCCGCCTCCACGCACCCGGGAGCAGCTGGAGCTCCAACAGGTAGAAAGGATTAAACCACCAATACCTCCGCCAGTGTTGGGAAATTACGATGTCTTGGCCAGTACCCGAACTTTTCGGGGTCGGACACAGGGTCGACAATGTCCCATAAATCTGAATTTTATAGTGACGGAAAAACGGAAAAAAAAAATGCTTTCTCTACTGCAATGATGTCGGGCTGGGTAGTCCAGGAGGCCGTGCTCACAATCTTCCTCCACGGAATGCACCTTATAGGTAAGGCGGTCACATTCTGAATGTTACTGTTTTCCTTTTTTTGTTGGTCGTGTGTTTCTTATGAGTCCCCTGTCCGTGAATTGCTCAAGCTGCTCGTGATCTGCTCAAGCTGTCCGTGATCTGCTCAAGCTGTGTTTTGTCAGAGGATTGTAAGGCTCATCACACTGGCACTTAGGGGAATGTATCCAGCCATTTTCACGGTCGGATCCATGTGCCCGTTTTTTCCCCCTTTTATTCTCTTTT